GGAGGGGAGGGGAGGAGGGGATGGAGAGGGGGAGGAGAGGAGGGGGAGGCGATGGAGAGGAGGAGGGTTGGAGGAGGAGCAGCGGTTCTGCTGGTTGCTGGGGAGCTGGGATACCCATGTCCCATGGGCTCTTGGGGGTGGGGGTCTCCAGCTGCCCCCTTATCCTGAAGATCTTGGGACTTGTCACCTCCATAGTCAGAGGAGCCAGTTCCTTGAGGGAGTTCTATGTGTGTGTCCTCCGGGTGCTGTTTCTCTGTAGAGCCTTGGCAATCCGTGAGGTCCCCAGGGTCATCATGCTCAGAGACAAAATGGAAGGAGGACACCAAGGGCAGGGGATGGGGGTGTAGTGTATGTGGTGGGTGGGCAGAGTTTCAGTTCTGCAAGATGAGAAAACCTCTAAGCATGGATGGGTGGGTGGATGGGTGGATGGGTGGGTGGATGCGTGGATGGCGCAGCGGTGGCACAGCAGGGTGACTGTGCTCAGTGCCAATGAGCTGTGCACTTAGGACACAACATTTTTATTTTTAAAATTTTTTTATGTGGTGCTGAGGATCGAACCCAGCGCCCCACGCATGCCAGGCGAGCACGTCATCTCTTGAGCCACATCCCCAGCCCCACTGAGCTGTGCACTTAGAGTAGTTAAGTTCTGTCCTGCATCTTTCCACAGTCACAGCACAAACACTTCTCGGCTCAGGCTGAGGTGGGGGCAGGAGCAGAGGGCGCCACAGCCACAGTCCAGGGACCAGCACGTCTCTGCCAGTGGCACTGGTGGCCCATGCTGTGTGGAAACCCAGTGCCCCTGTGACCTTCCTGCCACCGTCACAGCCATGGCTGCTCCTACCTGGACAAGCCAGCTGCAGTGCAGCCAGGAGAGGGAGCACTGAGCTCACGATGCCTGGTGCTCAGAGGGCTCCAGTGGGAGGAGGGACAGGCGCTGAGTGCCAGGCCCCCATGGCCACCACAGCCTGCTGACGGGGAGGGAAGCAGGACTCAAGGAAGCAGCCCAAGGCCAGCATGCTGATAAGCAGTGACCCAGACACGTCTGCAGCCAGGGCTCTATTACCACAGCCAGGGCCCACAGGACTGCAGGCGCCGCGGAAGCTTCTGGGCTGGGCCTCTGGGACGGCGTGACTGTTAACATTTACCCACTCACGCAGAGCTTGCCGTGGTTCAAACCTGCAGAAAGGTGGGGAAGAAAGAGGCCTCGACAGGGGTGCGGGTAGGAGTGCAGCCTGGGGACAGGAGGAGACGGGAGGTGGGAGCCAGAAGTGGCACTGAGTGCAAGACCAGGTCAGACAGGGACAGCTGCTGGAGTCCTGCAGGCTGAAGGACCTGGACACTCAGTCGTGGGCTTTGAGAGCCATGGAAGGTTTTGTGTGGTTTTTTTTTGTTTTGTTACAATAAACAAATTCTTACAAAAAATATTTTAAAAGGAATGCATGCACAGCTGGGTGCAGTGGCCACACCTACAATCCCAGCGACCCCAGGGGCTGAGGCAGGAGGATGGCAAGTCCCAGGCCAGCCTCTGCAACTTAGTGACCTGTCTCAAAATAAAAGGGTGGGGGATATAGCTCAGTGGTACGGGTTGGTGTCTGAGGCCCTGGGCTCCATCCTGAAAAAAAATAAAACAGGACTGTCCACGAATGTGATTTTAAAACTTCCCCAAGAGGAAGGGGAAACAGCCATCCCTGGCTCCATCTTGGAAAGTGACTGTTGAATCCTTTGAATCATTTTAGCTGCTCTCCCCGGGGTTTCCTCTGGATTTCTAGATAACAAGCTTATCACGCTGTCCTTGGAACTTCCTGCTGACCTCCTACCCCAGCTTGGGGGCTTCACTTTTCCATTGCACGTGCATCCCCTGGACATCTGTGTACACGTCTCTCCCTCCTGCCCCCCAGGCCCCCAGTTCTGTTTGAGCCCTGTAATAAAACATTGCCCCATAAAAATTGTTCACCCTGAGCCACTGACAACCCAAACTCTTCACCCAGTTGCCCAACCCCCTTCAATGGGGCCAAGAACAGAATTCCTGCCTCCTGAAGCCCTTTGTCCCCCATTTCCTCTGGACTGGTGGCTCTTTGGGCTGATCCCTCCACTGTGACTCTGACCTCCATCATCATGGGGACATGCCTCTGGTTTCCACCTTGGAATCCCAGAGTGTCAGCACCAGCTCCAGAAGAGCCTGGGGATCATCCAATGCTTCGAGGCGTCCACCCCTACCCCTGCCCAGGCAAAACCAGGGAACCAGAGGCTCAGCCGGAAGCCTCCTGGTGGCCTCCAGGAGCCCAGAAAAACACAGCACCAAAGCGCCCCTCCTGCCCTTCTCCCTGCCATGTGCCCACATCCAGGCAGGGCCAGGGCATGATCCAAGTGCAATGTGAAGCACACACGGAGTCATGTCACTAAGTGAGTGGACAGACACAAGGAGCCAGCAGGGGCCAGTGCCCGGAAGGGCACCCAGTGCCTCCAAGGCTTGCTCTAGGGCAGCCCCCAGGCCAGCGAGCTCCTGGCATGTTGCAATTCCACACAGGCCCAATGGCCACTTTTGGACATGGGACCTCAGGTAGGCACCTCTGCAGGGCCTGGCAGGAGTCCTGGGGTGGAGCCTCTAGGCCAGTTGCCTAGGGAGGGCCCTGGCCTTGCGTGGCGGCTGCCATGGAGCACAGGGTCACACTTCATGACTCAGCAAGGTCCTGGGGATGCTCACGCAAGCGCCTCTGGGAGGACGTGCCAGCAGTATGTATGGGGCTGCTGGGCTGTCAGCGACAGGCCACGCCTCCCACACTCAGGGTCTGCAGAGCTGGGTCCACCCGACCAGCCCAGGGGGAAACACCGCGGCCCATGGGAAATGGGTGAACTGCATCGGCAGCCCCCCTGCCCACCTGCTTTGGAGGCAGAGGACCCAGCTCAGTCCCAGGGTCTCAGGGTTCTGGGACCAGGACCCTCTCTGGCCTACTCCCCCTGGCCTTGTGCCCACATGCCTACCCCTGGGCAGGCCGGCCCCCTGAGTACTAGGCCCTGTGTCTGGAGACTGTGGGCCAAGTCCCCGGCCCCAGGCCCAGCATGGAGAGGGAGCTGGGTGTCAGGAAGGCCCCAGCCACTTTTCAGCGACTTGCAGGCCCCAGAGTGTGGAGCTGGACCAGGCCACAGCAGTCAGAGGCCAGAGCAACTGGGCCCAGGGCCATGGCTCTGCTTCAGGGTCAGGGGTCCCCAGAACACCCCAGTGCTCCCTGGGCAGCCCCAGAGGGGTGAGATCAGCCAATGGAGGCAGGCCCGTAGGACTTCCTCTGTCCTGTCAAATGAGCAGCAGCAGGGCTTCAGGCCAGGCCAGGCCAGGGCTGAGTGTGGACGTGCTCTGGATGTGAACGTGGCCTCTCTCTGGCCAGGTCCCGCCCTCTAGGCTATGCCACAGGGCCAGGCTCCATGTGATGGGAAACCGAGGCAGGGCTGGGCCCAGCATTGACCATGGGCCTGGTCCACCTGCAGGCCCACAGAGGATGGCCTGGCCGGCCCCCACGGGCAGCAGGACACACCCTGGCCTGTGTGTCACAAGCCCTGGCCAGGCCAGTGTGGAGCCCTCACAGGCAGATGGCACATTCAGCACTTTGCCCACAGGATGGCAGAGCTCCGCCACTCTCAGGAAGGACAAGGAGGCCACATCCTAAAACCCAACCAGGATCCAAACCAGGGACTGGCTTCTGGTGTTCCCTGGGGTGTGAACAGAGCACTCGGCAGCCCCTGTCTCCTTGGCCCAGCCACCTCTGAGGATGATGCCACAGGACAGAAGGTCACCAAGTCGGAGGGCTTCTTCCGGGGCCCTGCTCTCTTGGGCAGAAGTGGGGGCCTGTGAGAGTCTGGCCCCTTCTCGAGGCAAGTGTCATGAGGGCTGAGGGGACTTTACTCCCCCCTACCCCCGGGTTTAGTGTGTTGGGGGGTCATCACCCCAACGCTGACCACCTGGAGGGCTGGCTGTCCCCCTCTACAGGGAGGGGGAAGTCCTCTGTGCCTGGGGGGTGAACTGAGGGAGCACTGGACATCCTCCCACAGCTCAGTCCAGGCAGATCTCCTTGCAGCCCCATGGAGAGAAAGCCCTGGGCTGGGGAGTGAGTCCTGTGTCCTCCCCTCTGCCATTCACTGTCCTTCAGGTTGGCCCTGGGAGTGGGGAGTGGGGATGGTGCCAAACAGCCTCACCCTGTCCCATGAGGCCCCTTGTCCACCAGAGGGCAGCTGGGGCCTCAGTCCCCACAGCATCTCTAAGGAACTGCAGGGGAACCTATGATTGTCAGTGGGTGGCAGGGAATGCCCTGTCCTCCCCTGGATGGGGCTGACCTTGAGGGGCTGAGGCTGCTCTGGATCTCAGTTTCCTCATCTGAAGAGTGGGAGAGTCCTGGCAGGATCAATGCGGTCTCAGATGGCTTCTGAAGGCCAGGCAGCCCCGCCACTCCCTGGTCTGCCTTCTCAGTGGTCGAAGGTGTCATCCTGCTGTGGCCTCCTTGTCTCTCGCAGCTCACCGTTAGGGCGGGGGAGTGGCAGGAAGGCAGGCTAGAGGAGCACTTCCGAGCCGGCTGGGGTGCAGCGGGTGCAGGCCCTGATAAGGCGCACATGGCCAGCTGCACGTCCGCCTTTTGTCCCGGCTCCGGCCAGCCTTTCCTGCAGGAGCTGGCCAAGGCGGGAAGACCGTGGCCTGCACCCTCCTCCCCTCTGCCTCTCTCTGCCCCTGGCTCTGAAGTCCCTGGGGTCCGGGCCTGGGGGAGTTTGAGGCCCCTGTGCAGTGACTGCTGGGCCTGGCACATACCTGGACACCAGGGCTCCCAGCCTGAAGCCAGAACCTGGAGAGTCCACTCCACGGGGCTGCTGAGACCGACACCAGAGCCCCTGAGCAGAGGCTCCGCCCCTCACCCTCCAGCCCAGGGAGGGGCCCCATCTTCCCTCCAGCTGCTAGCACACTTGGGGCTCTCCCTCAGGTATTGGACTCTACTCTCTGTCCATCTTGAGGTCCCAGAAAGGCTTGGGCCTGGCTCAGCCTGTGTGTCCCTCCCAGGGCTCCTGTGTCTGTCATCTGTCTTAAGATGGCCCTCTCAGCCCAGCATCCCTGAGAGGACTGTTATCTCTGCCCCCATAGCCCACAGTGCCCATGCAGTGACCTCACAGAAGACCACTGTGCTGGGCCGAGGAAGGGTTCCATCAGGGGGAATCCTCTCCCACCTGCGGAGCCCCAGGAGTGGCCCGTGGCTGAGGTCAGGAAGCCCTTTGAAGGCCAGGCAGCCCCACCATTCCCATTCCCTGGTCTCCCTTCTCAGTGGTCAAAGGTGTCATCCTGCTGTGGCCTCCTTGTCCCTCCTTGTCCCACGGCCCCTGGGACCACTGAGCGCCCCTCAGTTCAGAAGGGGTTCTCACACGGGAGAACTGGACGCCACGGGCTCCTGAGCAAAGAACGCATCCACGAAGGATCGTCCCCAGTCCCCAGGGTCCCTCACTGCTCTGAAAGTTAGGAAAACAGCAAATTCCCCGAGGGGCCATTCCGTGGGCCCCAACGCTGCATCCGAGAGGAGATGTTAAGGAGGGGCTCAGAGGCCAGCGCCCAGCGCCTCACCTCCACCGTCCCCTCGGCCGTCTTCAGGATTTCTTCTTTCCCCAGCACCTTGGATTTTTTGTTTTCAGTCAAGAGTAAAAATTGTATAGACGTATGTCATCCATGAGTTTTAAGTTTGTGTACACCGTGGAGGGCCTAATCCGGCTAACCAACACAAGCATTTCCTCACTGACTGTCATTTTTCTCTGGTGACAGCACTTAAAATCCATTCCCTTAGGGCTGAGGGGCAGCTCAGAACCTGGGTTTGAACCTCAGCACAGCAAGAATTAAAGAAGATGTCACCCCTGGGGTTCAAGATCACAGTGCCACGTCACTGCTGGAGTCCCCGCCTCGCTCCATATTTCATGGGAGTACTCCTCGGGTCTAGCTGAAAGTTTTTTGTGCTTTGACCAAAGTCTGCAACCTCACACCCTCCCACTGCATGGCTCCCTCTCCCTGCTCTGTGAGCTGGACTCTGGAGCTCTCCAGGGCAAGGGCTGCACCTGGCCTCTCCCTGCCCAGACCACTTCGTGTAATGTTCTCCAGGTCCCCCCGAGTCGCCATAAACCGCTTGTTTGAATAGCACCCCACTCTTCCCCTCCTGTTCTCCTGTGTGCCGCGCTCTCTCCACCCGTCTGAGCTTGGGCCCTGAGCTGGAGCCAGGCTGGGGCAGTGCAAAGGAGTGAGCAGCTCTCCACGGTGGGATCCTGAGCAGGCCCTGGCTGGGCAGTTCCAGAGACTTGGAGGTCCAGGGAGCGGCAGGCACTGAACGCTGCTGGGCTGGGTGGGGCAGGGGGTGCTTCCAGGGGCGTGGAATGGCTACCAGTCTCCGCAGCTTTGCTGATGCCGTAAGTACGTTGGGCTCGCTGTGGGGAAACTCCACCTTGGTCCTCAAGGTGAGGGTGGCTCAGCTACACCTGTGCAAACCCTCAGGGCACTGTGGACCCTAGGTGATGATGGTGTGTCCAAGTGGCCTCATTCTTGGGGACACTGACCCAGGAGGCTGCATGTGCGGGGCCCAGGTGCCTGGGAAATCTATGCACCTTCCTGTTTGGCTGTGAACCTAAAATGGCTCTAAAAACAGGCTCTTAAGAATACATATGTCAGCCAGGCACAGTGGCATACTTCTGTAATCTCAGCAGCTTGGGAGGCTGAGGGAGGAGGATCGCAAGTTCAAAGCCAGCCTCAGCAAAAGCAAGGCCCTAAGCAACTCTGTGAGACCCTGTCTCTAAATAAAATACAAAATAGGGCTGGGATGGGGCTCAGTGGTCAAGTGCCCCTGAGTTCAATCCCCAGTACCAAAAAAAAAAAAACATGTATAACTGTCTGAATTTCACCTCAGTTGATCTAAGGGACATCTGTCCCTGTCACCAACATGGAGGCCTGCCCCTGGTGCTATGGAGCTGGGACTCAGCTAGATGGCTTCTTTCTGTCAAGGGGGGGGAGCACAAGGACTCTCCTAGGATGGTTGCAAGCATGTGAGGATCAGTCTCAGTAAGAACAGGGCCTGGCTCACAGAAGCTCCCAAAAGCTGGGTCGTGGGGGCTTCTCTGTCCTGCTTTTGTGCCTCAGATCCAACCGGCTCCTCTCGAGAGCTGGACAGCAAGCAAGAAATCAATTCTTATTTTGGAATCATAAAACGAATATCAACAAATAAATTATCCGCAGGCCTGGAGTGGTCTTCCTGCTGCCGCCCGAGGTCCCTCAGCTGGTCCTGGCTCCTGGTGATGATGGCTCTGTCCTTGGGAGTGCCCAGCCTGCAGCCTTGCTGTGCCATGGAGTCAGCCCTCCCTGCCAGTGTGCTGTGCTGGGACCTGTTCTCAGGGGGCCCTGGGAGCAGCGTCCTTCCAGACAGGGGGCCAGACAGGGTGGGGGTCTGGTGCCCTGCAGCCCTCCCACCAGTGGTGACAATCACCATCATCTTCATCGACCACAGTTCCTGAGCCCTCCCGCTCTGCCCCTCAACCCATGGGGTCTGGTGGTGGGGACAAGGTGGAAGTCCCTCTCTGAGGCCCATCTGTGGCCAACTTCCTGAACCTTCTGCCTGCCCAGGCCTCCAAGGGGCAGTGTGCACATGTGGCCTGGAGGCAGCGACAGCAGGTTTCTGTGAGGGCCGCTGGGGGACAGCATGGCTCACTCAGCAGCCCCCACTTCCCCCCGGGGCCCACGTGCCGGCCTGCAGTCTGAGCCAGGGTTTCCGGCCATTGTCCAGAGCAGGGCTTGACTGGAGAAGCAGTGGTCCCCAGCAGGCCTGAGCGTGGGGGCGGGGGAGCTGGGCATCCTAGCTGAGTCCAGTGGGTGTCCCGAGGGTCCACATGGCGGCCTGTAGCAGTGGTGCCGAAACCCCCACATGGTGTGCTCCCTCCTGGGGCGGAGCGGCTGCCAGGGCCTGGGAGTGCCCTGCCCGCTCTGCCTGGGAAAAGCCCAGGGCCACCTTCACACAGTCACCCCAGGGGGACAAGTGGGAAAGAACAGGGTGGGACCAGCACTCTGGGAGGAGAGGAGACAGGGACCCAGGCCTGCAGCACCTGGCTGCCCAGCCATGGGAATCCTTGAACTGGGAGCCACAGGTAGGAGAGGGCAGGAGACATAGACTTGGCCACAGAGTGACCTGAATTCTGCTCTGGCTTTGCCTCTTGCTGCTGTGGGACTTGGGCAACCTCTCTGGGCCCTAGTTCTCTCCTGGCATGATGGTGGATGCATTTGGAAGGGGTCTTGATAGACCCCTTAGGATCTAGGGCAGAAGCAGGGGCCCAGAGAAGAACCTGAGAGCCCCAGGCCCAGAGCTGGCGAGTTCCCAGCACAGCCCCTGCCCCACTGGTGGGTGGCGCCTGGCCTTCCTGGCCCTGGCTCCTTTGTCCGGGATCAAGAGCCAGGGCAGGGAGAGCAGGCTGGGTCCGGGCTGCAGATGCTTTCCGGGCGCTGAGGTGAAACAGCTACACATTCCAGTGGGCAGCCTGAGAGCACACCAGGAGTCACCTCCTGGGGGGGTCTGACCAGGTCAGCAGGCCGAGGGCAGACCCCCACTGGGATCTGACCCCACGGGAATCTGCAGAAAGGAAGTCTCATCTTGTCCGGCCCCTTGGATATTTGGAGGGAGGTTAGCCACTGGCCCCACAGCCCGTGGGAGCCTGTACCCTGTCCTGGCCCAAGGGCTCCTGCAGGAGAGGAGAAGCCACTGAGCCCTCTCAGGTGCAGGAGAGGACAGCTGGGCCTTCTGCCCACTTGGGCTCCATCTTGCAGGACTCATTCCCACCAGGATGGCTGGGAGTGCTGCTTCCTTGCTCCTTCAGCCACCTCCCATCCAGGAGGACAGACCTGATTCTGAGGCCAGGCAGCCGCTGCCCAGGTCACTCTGCTTCTCCCAGGCTGAAGCCTCAGGCAAGCCCCAGTCCTCAACTGCAGATGGGCACACTGTAGAGCAGGCCTCTGAGCCTTATGGGGGTTAGGGTTAGGGTCAGCTCTGTGCCTGGGCAGGGGAGGACAGAGAGGGCAGCTCCTGCACGTTCCCCACACCACCCTCTTGTGCACCTCCTGTCAGGATCTGGGGACACCTCTGCCCTGTCCCCACTAGCCCCTCTAGTGTCCCTGGGGCTTTCCAAAGTTTGTGTGTCAGAAACCACAGGCTAGGAAGGCATAGCAGGGCAGCCACTGACCACGTGATGCTAGAAACCCCTGGCCCTGGTGCCTGCATGAGAGAAAGGAGCCAAAGTCCCCGCCAAACCATGCAGATGCTTGTTCACAGCAGTGAGTTCAGCCAAGGGTAGAGACAGGGCAAAGGCCCACCATGGACCAGGACAAGCACTGTCACACTGGACAGTCACACTGGACACTCTTGACACAGAAGGGAACAAAGCTCTCACCTATGCTCCAACTTGGAAGGATCTGGAGACAATCAGTGAAAGAAGCCAGTGACCAAAGCCTCACACTGCCCCCTCGTTGCACATGGAAATGTCCAGAGGATAAATTAGAGACAGGTAGTAGGTGAGCGGGTGCCTGGGCCCGAGGGCCACAGCTCGCTGACCCACAGCTGCTCTTGACTGTTCCCACATGGAGTTATATATTTAAGTGGGCAGGCTGTACAGCTTCTCAGTGGAGCTCAGGCAGACCTGGAGGCTGATGCGCCCACAAGACAGGAGCCCACAGGAGCCCGGCCAGTGCAGAGTCCTGGCCATGTTACTGGGAGCCCCGGGCTCATGCTGTCCAGCAGGCTCAGCACCTGCCTCCCCATCCCTCTCCTGCCCCAGAAGATCCAGGGGCAGGTGGTGGAGGGGGCTTTAGGCCAGCAACCTGCAGCCTCCAATCTCAACCCTGACAGGATGGCCATGGCGTGCTGTCTCCTACTCCCAGGTGCCCAGGCCAGCTTCTTGCTGTCTGGACTCCAGTTTACACAGGTGAAACAGGACAGTCAGATGGTCGCTAAGACCCTAGGAGCCTGACTTCCCGGACTGGGGCCAGCTCCCCCTGCTCCCACTAGAGGAGCTCCTGAGTTTCACAGCAACACAAGCCAGGCTAGATCCGTGTCTCCACCAGGGTGCGGGGGTCGGCTTCCTGCAGCCCCGGGCCTGACGCAGTTGCCCTTCCCCTCTGGAGGGGCTCC